AAATGACTTAGAATCCACACTAGCAGCAAAGGTGCACACCCTATAAAGCATCCTTCTCCTTCGCGCCTACAAGAACTCAAAGACCGGAACGTCTCAGCTAGAATAGCTGGAACAGGATCCACGCACTTGTCTAATCTTTCAAACAGGTCAACGACTGATACGTCTACATATCCTAGCATATTTGGAAAAATAACGAGCCCATAAATCCCTAAAGCAAACAAGTCAAGCTTCTTTCTCTTATCAGGGTGATGAGCAATTACTTCTTTCAAAGCAGCCCAAGAGATACACTCATTGTCTCCCTTCTTCTTAATGTTTCTGACTACCCAATCTTTACTCATTCCGGTCATCAATAGTAATTTCTTCTTAAACGAAGGAGTGACTGGTAGCTTGGTATATATTCTATCTATCTGGGACCTCGGACAACGGACCAAAGCTTGATACTCATTTATCGTTGGTGTTAGATCCACCCTACCAAATGTGAAACAGCTATAAGTTGGGTTCCAGAACTGTGCCAATGCTCTAAACAAATTTCGGTCAATAGGAACATCCAGAAGATAAGGAATATCGCCGTACAACTGATAAAACATCTCCTTATCGGCTACTGTCCATCTTCCCCATATCTCCTTTAGCTCACTTAGATCATTCTAACGCATGTTGATGTGAGTATAACCAAATAACTCCGACACATATCCAGGCATCACGCTGTCCCCATTGGTCAGTTGAGACTGTTCCGACCACCTCAAAACATCTGTATTATCTTCATCCTCTTTCTGAGCCGTTCATTCCATATTACTGGCCTTCTATATAGACATGGATCTCAAATCAACACCATGTAATGGATAGTGCAATACAAAACAGAAAAAAATAAAGCAAAGACAACAAAAGATCAGTTAGTAAACATAAAGCAATTAAATCGGGATAATAATTTATTCAAGAATCCTACCCACATGCTGGCTACCCAATAATGCTTTATCAAATCCTACCCAACATGATATCTACCCCCATGCTTTGTTATTCACAAAAATAAATCCTAACCGCATGATATCTAATTCGCATGCTTATTCAAAAAATAAACCTAACCGCATGATATCTAGTTCGCATGCTTATTCAAAAAATAAACCTAACCGCATGATATCTAGTTCGCATGCATTTATTCGAAAAACGAAAATAAATAACTCAAAAAAAGCTTTTCCTTGTGTACCATCCTCACGGGATTCTTATGGTTCGGGTTTGGTTCAACCTAAATTCGGGTTCTATGTTCACTATATGCTGGGTTCGGTTCTAAAGTAATAGGTTCTCGAATTGTCCTTGTCGGTGCCCCCTTGTGCTGCTGAACCCTCAATTCTGGCCCATCACAGGCTTTAGGGGATCGAGTTCAATTTCGAGGGAACACACCTCCTTATGTCCATGTGGAGGTGATTACCATCACGAGGACCATAAGGCGTGAGCTTCAGGAGCGATCCACTATCCCATGTGGAGGTGAAAACCACACGAGGGCATAGTCTCTCACTCCTACTTAATTAAGACGGAGCGGGGTTTTAGCTCATGTCATGAAAATGCAACTGTGCAGTGTGTGAGGAAAAGCGAAAAAAACAAAAACACTCAAAATCAATTCTTAAAACAAACAATTATTCTGAAATCATTAACAAACAGATTAGTACAACTATTTAATTGTCAATCGAATTAAATTAAAGAAATCAAAATTCAAGCGAAACTTATTAAAAACCAAACAAGGGATCAAAAACCAAATTAAAACGAATTTGTAATTTTCAATTGCAAAGACAATTAATTAACCGACTATCAGCCTGACTCTCTAAAAACAAAAGTCCCCAGCGGAGTCGCCAAGCTGTCGAAACGATTTTTTCTTAAAAGGTGAAAAAAGTGAGATTTTGAAAACCACATTAATTTTTAATTATCTCTTTTTAATTTAAAAACAGATGCGATTAAAAGACCTCTCGTTTCGAAAAATTTTGAATTTCCTTTACGATCGAAAAATACGGTTCGAAGAGTCGCCACTAATCTTTAATTAGGGTGTGATTGGGCACCCAAAAATGCTTGCTATTTTAAATAAAAATTAATTTTAATTAAAACAACAAATTAAGGTATGCGTTACCAAAATCCGAGTTCGGGAGTCGGTTACGTGTGGGGAAGGCCCACAACGCCCTAAATCGGTACCTAGTTGATTAATTAACGTCCTTGCATTGAACTTTACAAATTCGAACTTAATTTGATTTTTGATCCCATAAAACAAAGACGTAAATTTAAAAACATTCAAAAGCACTCAAATAAATTAAATTAAAATTACCAAATCGTTTTAGAAAGATAAAGAATGTTCGATTATTTACAAATATCGAGACCAAATTTTAAAGATATAACAACCTTTTCTCAATATATTTAAATAAACGAACATTTCCTTTTCTCTCGTTCCCAAATTTTAAGTGACGAATCAATTTTCTTGTTTCACTTCAGGGATACGCTTTTAATTTAAAATTGTCAAAACGGCTCTCTAATCAGTGAAGACAATCTGCTCAAGACAATTTTAAATTAAAAAGGTATTACCCTTAGTCCGATTATGTATTTATAAGTCGAGTTATACATATGAGGGTATCACACAAATTATGCAATAATACTTATTACGTAAATGATATGCAAATACCAAAACTTATATGCCTCCTAATAAAAGGTAAATACCAATATTCACACTGCTAATTTATTCGACATATTAAATAAAATGAAGCTAGGCACAAAGTTATCCTATATTACTTAGTATATGTACATATGCGCATGCAAATGACCATATTAACATTAGTAATTAAATTATACATAATATTTATATGTTATCATGAAAATATGAAAAAACAACATAATGACCTAAATGAATAAACACATAACTCTTAAGGCTAAAGTCATAGAATAGACAAAGTTCAAGTCATAGAACACTAATAATTACATTTCATATACTAAAATCAAAATAAAATCACAAATATATGCAGGACTAAACTGTAATCCTCAAAAGAAGCACGTCAAACAAATAAAATATCAAAGTAAGTGAATTCTAGGATTAAAATGAAACATGCAACAACATGAGGTTCAAATGTATAAAACAACAAAAAAAATTAAATAAACTACTACTTGGGACTTAAATTAAATACGGGAAAAATATAGAGATGAAATTAAAAGTTCAGGAAACATGGATTTTTAGGACTAAAATGAACTAAATCGGAGAAATGCGTGACTACCTCGGAAATAAACCTATTCGCATAAAAATGAAATACCCTGGACCCTGATTAAACGACACCCATTTCTGCTAAACTTAACCCCCATCGCCATTTTTCTTCTTCTTCGCCTACTCTTCTTCTCCACGGTCGCATACCACCTAAACCAGGACCTCGATATACGAACGAAAGAACCCTAAGTAAGCCCAAAGCTGCTACCTTTCTTACTTCTCTCAACCCTTCTCTTTGGCCGAGAATTCAAATGTTTACCCATGCTGTAAATCGGCCACTCTCTGAACTCCGATCACCAACAAAGACGGTCGGTCGAACCCAATATTGAACCTACACTAACTCGTCCAAAATAAGACTCGCGCATGCCCCAAACCATAGCCTATGCTCCTAATACCCTAAACGGTGCGACTCACCTCTTCGATTACCACCGTGGTGATTACCTTCCAGCGACCAGAGACCGACGATTAAAAACCCATGTAAACAAACCTTCATCCCTCCTATTCTCTAATTTTACTCGAAAATCACTCTAAAAAAACTAAAGCTAAAATCCTTCACTTTCTTTCTTCTAAAAACCCTCCAAATATGAAAAGATCGAAGCTCTCACCCAAATACACAACCGAAACCACTCAAGCGAGGCTTCACTCCGACGATGAGACCCTCTCTGGAAGGTAAATGATCTCTCTCTATATTCTTTGCATACTATGTTTATTAAGAACGAAAACGGATATGGCTCTATCTATTTTAAGAAATTACCTGGTTTTGTCACTGTGCTTTGAATGAATGAATCGAAATGCTTTGTTTTGCTTTGTTTTTTGTTTTCGAATGATGCCGCAGTGATTCTTGGAACTCCCCAACTTCCAATGAAGACCGAAACAGAACCCAGGTAAACGAATCTCTTTATTTCCTTTAGTTTTGAATGGGTTTCTTTTTTTTCTTGTTGTTTCGGAAGAAAGCAGAAAAAACTTGCTTAATTCAAACGATAACTGTGTATCTCATTTGGTTGTTTCGAATGGAAATCAAATACTTGGTAAAACTCTATGTTTTGTTTCTCTTGAAATAAAAATAATGAAAAAATAAATCATCTCCCCTGTTTACACTATCTTTCGAATATGGAAAAAAAATGCCCTCTGTTCTTGATGAATTTTTTTCTTTTTTGCTCTGTGCCCTCCAGTCATTTGATAGTCTTTTTTTCAGTGGTTAATTGCCCATTAAAAAACTGACCCCCTTTTTTCTGCTCTGTTCCTCTATTAAATCTTCCAAAAACCGACCCCTACCTTCTGGTGGTTAATTCAAATTAAAACAAACCCCATTTACAGTTTATTTTTGCTCATGATCATGGACCCCATGTTTTTGTAACTTCTGATAACTTACCAATTATCATTCGTGGCTGAAAAGCAACTCTTTTTTTCTGTTTGTTGCAGGCATCCTCATGTGGACTGGAGACTTGGATGATGGTATTGTTGCTTCATTGGGCTTGAATTGGGCCTCCAATTGGTTGGTTTCTTCTTTAGGCCTACTATTGCTTCGGGTCTGCTTCGACATAACCCTGGACAGAAACGAGCATCTACACATGATATATGTATGCATGTGTATAATGAATAGAGTGATGTACGAAGGAATATATACAGTTTTGTTTGATGATATTAATTTATTAAATAAAATAAAATTTTATATTATTTGAAATAAAATAAATAAAAAGTAAAGTTTTGTCGATAAGATTGACCCTCACCATATATTGTATTCACCACCCAACTTTTTCCCTTTTTTTAACAAATCAAAGTGCTTCCCACCTCCATCCATGCCTTGAGTCAGAAGAATCCAAGACAAAATTAAGACACATCATTGAACACCAAAAGGAATATCAAATTTTAACAAAAAGATTTTTAAATTAATCTAATATAAACTTTTACGGATATTATTATTGCATAATAACGTATAAAATGCTTAAATATTTATAAAAATTTTAGAGAAAAATAATATTTGAATGAATGATTTCTCACTTAGGAATTAGGATGCTTTGAACATAGAGAAAGCTTACTTCATGACAAATGTCAACCTTGTGAATTCTCAATAACTTTTCTTCGAGGTGTGAATTCTAAGAGTTAATAGCATTCTCATTATTTTGAATGTTATACAAAAATAAGACTTGGTATATAATCAAGGGTGGCAGTTGATTGGATTAGATCAAAATTTTAGTTAATTTAATTTTTAATTAAATATTCTATTTCTCATCTAATATTTGATTTATTTTGATTTTAGGAATGTTTCACACAATTTCAATTTTAAGATGATATTTTATATTTAACTCAAACAAAATTATTATTATTTTGATTCGATAAAATAAAGAACTAAGGGTCCATTTGTTTCACGGAAAACAGATTTCGAAAAATGAATTCAGGGAAATGAATTAAATTTTCTGGAAAATATTTTCTGAAAATCATTTTACAATGTTTGGATGATGTTATGTAATTTATTTTTTATTGATTAGTAATTTTAAAAAAAAAAATTATTATAAACATCAAATGCAATAAATAATATTATTTATTAACAAAAGAATATTATTATTTTTCAAATATTAGAATGATTTATCTAATATTATTTAGGTCAATATCATTAAAAATATTAATATTATTATATTTTATTAAAATAAAATATTATAATTATTTTAAATATTTATTAAAAAAATAATATATTATTAAGTATATTACTTACTTGTTAAAATAATAATATTATTAAACTATTAAAACTTATAATATTATAATAAGAATATTATATTATATTTTAAGGAATGTATTTTAAATATTTAACTATTCAATAATATTATTTTTTAAAATTAATAAATAATATTAGTTTTATTAATAATTTATTATATATTATTAAAATAAAATTATTATATTATATTATAAAAATTATCAATAAATATAATTTAATTTAATATTTTTATTAAAATAATACTAAAAATAATATATTAATAATAAATATATAAAATAATAATGTTTTGAGTGTTTATGCTTTGAAGTGAAAAAATCATAAAATGACTTACGAAAAATAATAAAAAATCAGACCGTAATACATTTTTCAGAAAATACAAAAGATATATTAATTGTTTTCTGAAAACATTAGAAAATGAGGAAAACGTTTTCTGAAAAACTAATTAAATGAAAACAAAAAGACCCTAGAATACATAGACTGATCAATATTATATTAATTGTTTGTACCAAAAAATCTAATATTAATTGTTTCTAAATATGTGTAAGATAATATGAAAGAATAATGGAAAACGGATTTACTTTATTGATTATTGTAATGCAGTTTATGTTTATTACAAAAGTGTACCAAACTCCTTTAAATATGGAGTAAATCGAAACAATAAATCAAATGTTGAAAATCTAAAATGTAAAGGGATAGAAATTTAAAATACAAATGATTTGGATAACTTTTAGATATTGCATGATTATAGGAAGTATTCTGTTATGCCCCTTAAGATGGATCTCAACAAGAAAGTCTAATCTTGTCTCGAAGAAAAGCAAAACGAGTCTGAGGAAGCGATTTTGTTAAAATATCAGCAAGTTGATCAACCAAAGATACATGTGCAACCCATAGAGTACCATTTTACACTTGATCATGAATAAAATGAAAGTCAATAGCCACATGTTTCATTTGTGAATGGATTGGAACACTATTGGGTCGCTCTAATATTATCACAATATATCACCAGACATGGAGAAGATTGAATACCAAGATCATGTAATAGAGAACAAATTCAACTTATTTCAGCAGTAGTGTTTGTAACATGTTGATATTCAGTTTCTGTAGAAGAACGTGTCACAGTTTGTTGCTTTTTGGAGCTTCAAGAAATGAGATTACGACCCAAATAGATGATGTAAGCACTGGTTGATGAGAAGTCAACAATATTTCCAGTCCAATCAACATCAAAAGATGCATGCAAGATAGAAGGAAAATTATGATAGAGCTGAAGACAATAATGAGGACTGTCACAGAGATATCGGAGTAACTATTTAACAAGAGCTAAGTGTTCGGTGGTTGTGTTAGGATTTACGGAAGCTCGAATTAACAATCGAAAGAGTTGCAAATGGGTGAATTGATAAAAATGTGTTTAGGGAGTAAGGAGTTGGTTTGACTTCTCAACCAAGTCTACATCCACTATCTAAGCTCCTCACTTAGGATTTTCTAACAAATCCACTAATTTGTTCTTTCTTTTTCAAGGATCAAGAGCAACCTTTACAACTATCTATCTTTTGAATTGGCTAAGATAGAACCAAAACCCCTTTACAAAAGGATAAAAAGAAGTAAACAAATAAACCTATCAAAGGTAGGTGTTTACAAAGAATTAAGCTCACACAAACATAATATTTACAAGAGAAATTAAAATAAGAATAAAAAACTATTCTCTTGTGTTTGATTGCTTGTATAGGTGTTTCTAACCCCTCTTCAAGTGTCCTCAACTTGTATTTATATGTTGGAATGATGTTGTGGTCGTTTCTAGCCGTTGGGAGTGTTTTGGAGCCGTTGGAGATCAATTTTCGTGCAAAATAAAACTGCCCAGAACAGAGGGTATCAGTACTCCTAAAGGGAGTATCGGTACTACCTTTGTTATTTTTAAATAAACTAGTTGTTACTAGCTGTTGGGGCCTGATGGTATCGATACTATGCATATGGTATCAATACTACTATACAAAGTAGTATCGGTACCCCTTTGGGAATCGGTATCATTTTTGCATTCTGAAATTTGAGCAATGTTGGTAGTATCGATACTACCTAGTGAGTATCGATACTTCCCTTACCTTTGGTATTGGTACCATATGAACAATATCGGTACTGTTCATGAGGTATCAATACTGTAAGAACAATATCGGTACTGTTTGTCCAGAAAATTGTTTTGTGCTCAATTCCAAGCTTTAAGGACTTTGCATTATTTTTGAAAACTTTGAAAAACTTTGAATAAATTCAATTCAAGCCCAAAAACATTTTGCCTTAATTGTTATATCAAAATATAGTTCAACAATCTCCCCCTTTTTGATATAACAAAACATTTGAAAACTTGTTTTTGGCAAAACCTCCCCTTAATAAAATGTTTAATGAAAAAGATACAAATGTTGGAAAATGTATGAAAATGTTTAGCTCCCCCTTTTCCATTAAAAAATTGAATTTTTCAAGCCATAACTTATCCCCATTTTTGTTAGATCAAAAATAATTCCACTTTAAAGTTAAAAAATAAATTTGGAGAGTAAGTGATAATTTTTACATTAAAACCCATTTGAAAATCAAAAAGCTCCCCCTCAAAAAGTACATTCCAAACAAAATTTGACTTTAAAAGCTTGACACTTAACAAAATTGAATTTCACCAAAGAATAACAAACATGTTAGTAACACATGAAATTCAATATATACAAGTCTAAAATACTTTATGCAATACCAAATGTTGAATTTAAGTGCATGTGCATAAAGCAATCAAAAAATGTTATGCATTTGAAAAATAGATATCAATTGTTAGAGATATATCATTTATAATAAATCACTTGCATAACCATTTAAGATTAAGGTAAAAAATTTAAAACTTGTAAAATCAAAGCATTTGAAATGTTGATATCAATTGTTAAAGAGATATCATTTGCATTGAAAATCAATTTTGACCAAAATTCATTATGATGAACTAAAAATTATGAAAAATCATTAAAACTTTAAAGTATTCATCATAAATCATTTTTCAACATAAATGAAATTTAAAAAAAAAAACAATATTTAATCATTTAAAATTGAAACTCATGTATACATAAACAAAATGAGCAACCAAATATCCAAAATAAAAGCATTAAGCTTAGAGGTTACCCATTCCTTTTTCAAAAATGTGGCTAGAGCATTTGAATATCTTCATTTTCATCAACATTGCTCCCACACACCTACAAGAGACATTTAAGTAGATTTTGATATCCAAATTGCTTAGGATCCTTGAACTTTAGTTTCAATGTCCCTTGTTCCCTTAGGAACCCATACTTGTCTAATTTTAAAAGATTTTCTTTTCTTTATGGGACAAGTATGTTCCAAATGACCATAAAATGGCAATGTGAGTATTTTTTTCATTTTTAAACATTATGAGTTGTTTTGAGAAATTGATTCTTTTTCTTTTGTTAAGCTCTCAAGCTTAACTTTCAAATCAAAAATTTCTTTTTCTAAATCATTGATTTTGAATTTTGAAAGCTCTAAATCATTTTTCAAAATTTCATTTTGATTCTCAAAATCAACTTTTGCTTTCAAAACCAAGTCATTTTCAACTTTAAGTTTTGAAATCAATTTCTTATATTTGGAATTCATGGTCTCAAATTCCAAATATAACTCATTATAAGCATCTTGTAACTTATCAAAAGAATGTGAATTTAAATCATTTGAGTTAGAAGATACCATTGAATCTTCTTCGATGGTCCTGAGGCATAGGTTGGCTACTTCATCTTCATCATTGGAGTCATCTTCATCACTCCAAGCCGCCACAAATGCCTTTTTCTTTCTTAATCCCTTCTTCTTTAGGAGATGGAATTCATACTTGACATGCCCCGTTATTTTAAAATTGAAGCACACCAAGGAAACCCTTATTCTTCGTTGATTCATGCTTCACTTCCTTGGAAGACATGAGTCTCTTGAATTTTTTGAAGAGCTTGGTCATCTCTTCTTCTTCATCATTGTATTCATCCACCTCTTTTCTTGAATCTTGATAGCTCTCATTGGTGGACTTGAAGGCAATGCCTACCTCATTATTCTTCTTC